CGGGCGCTGCGGCCGGGGGGCGACCGCTCCAGCCGCTCGCTCCTGCGGGCGCTGGACTCCACAGCAGCGGGGCAAGGGGGAGAAACCGCACCGTGTGTTCGCTCGCAGGGCCGGGGCGACTCCCCGTGCTCCGCAGCTCTGCGTTCACTCCCTCGGCTGAACTCCTGCCCCTGGTCTCCAGCTCTGCACGTCCTGGCGGTGCCTAAGGAGCAGTGGACGCAGCAAAGATCCAAGAGATTTCTCCTGACAGCCCCTGCCACATCTCAGTTGTGTGTTTACAGTCTACAAGTAGTACAAATACTAGAGGAGAAGAGTGTAAATCTGAAGGAACATTTTTACTTGGTCCTCTCCAGTACGTCCCTTCCCTTTCCTAGGACTCGTTCAGAAGTAGGGAGTGGAAATGGTTAACGTGTTTTTCCAAAAGTTCTTCCCCCCAGATCATGATTTTGTCAAAACAAAGTTATTTCTTTTTCTTTTTTCTTATTAAATTGTGGCCATTTGGCTAAATTAAAATGTTGACAAACATCTTCAGGATAATGCAAGAAACCAGTGACCTCACTCTGTTTCATCTCAAGTTTCCTTTTACTTTGGTATTTCTTTGTAGTCTGTCATATGTTGATTTGTGCTTGGCTGACAGTGCACACTTTTTAATGAATGATGTTGCAAATAACATCATCTCATCTACTGGCGTTTCTAAATGCAATGTGTGACATAAACTATATTGAAAACAAAGGTTTTGAAGGTTGTTTTTCTTTTTTACATATTCTTCCCTATTTGTGCCCTGTGATTAACACTCATGTTGTATTTTCATCTGATTAGAAAGGAAACAGAATTATGAAGTACCTTGCAGGGGACAAGTGGAGGTGAAGCTGACCGGCTGGTTCTGTGCGCGCCAGTTAATGCTAATCTCCGACCAAATCTGATTTGTGAGTACTTCTTCAATTTTTCCTAAACTTTAAGGCCAGTCTGCTCAAGCTGTACTGTCAAAACACCGAGCGGGACTGACACCACCGGGGACGAGCGCGTGCATTTTGCAGCGAGCCCGTCCCGCAGAATTCCCAAGGGAAATCGGTGGCAGCTGCCCCAGCACCCGCCCACCTCATGGGGCACCCCGGGAGGGCCCAGGCTGGGGGACCCCGCGGTGCTGAGCACCCTCGGGGCCCAGGGGGTCCGGGGAGCTCCACACCCACAGGGCGGCCGGCCCGAGGCCGCAGCGACTTTCCGGGCTCCCCACGGGGCGGCTCTTGCCCCCCTTTGGTGGAAGGAGCTGCCCGGGGTCCCTTCCCCCTGCAGCTGCCAGCGACTGCAGCCTCTCTCCTGGGCTGCCCCTCGCCGAGGCAGGGACGGGGGCTTTCGCCAACCAGGAGTTTCTAAATTGCCTGCTGCGGAGAGGCCCTGAGCTTGATTGCAGTCTCGGGGTTCTGCTGCAATAGAAAAGCTGATGATGCTAACACTTAGCATTTATATAACTCTTTAAATCTTCAAAGAACTTTCCAAATGCTAATTCATCTGTGGAACGCCCCTCGGGCTAAGCATCACCCCCACTTTACATGGAGGAAACCCGGAGAGGAGGCCACAGAGCATATCAATGTCCAATTTGGGATCAGGCTGTGGGGCTTTCCTGGTTCTCCACCGAGTGCTCAGACCATCCCATTGAACTTCATTATCCGCCACTGCCTCTCCCTTGCAATGCGTCTCGTAATTGGGGTTAAAAAAGAAAGGCAGAGCTAGAAAGCTGCTCGTCCTTCCCTTTCATTTAAAAAGTCTCTGTTTGATGCCGATGCTGTAATTAACTGCGGGCTGGATGCAGCGGGGTGCCTGGGCTGGAGGACGCTGCGGAAGGCTCCTGCCCGGGCACGGCCACGCGTCTGCCGGAGCCCTCCTGGGCCAGGGGAGGGGGCCTTGTGCCGACGGCGTGAAACTGCTGATGTACGTGTTGTGAGAGTCTCCCGGTCAGAGCGGATTATCACGGAGCTGGAAACGGGAACAACATTTAGAGCAGAAATAGTTGTTCTATTCGGCTGCGCCCATCCTCGCTGTGGTGCCAAGGGGCTGTGAGCGCGCGTGTGTCCCTGGGGAGTCCTTTGGCTTCCCCCCCCATACTCGACTCAGAACGGAGCTTGAGTGGATCCCAAACCCTCCTGCAGCCCTGCGAGCCCGGGGACGGGCGGAGGGTGCCCAGGGGCCCGTCCGTGTGCTGCCCCGGGGAGGGCTGGCTGTCACCAGCGCACAGCGCGGCCTCGCTCCTGAGAGCGCCGGGGGCTTGCGGCGGTTCCTCGCTGCCAGCTCCGAGGTGCTTGGCGAGATGGGCTGTGGTGAGAAGCGTGAGGTTTGTTTTGTCTGGGCTGTCACGGCGAGGGCTGTGCGAGAGCCTCGTCTCTCCCACCACCTCGCTCCAAACCTTTCTCCGCTTGGTTTCTCTGGGAGCAAATCAGACAGATCTCCTGAGTGTGAGCAGCTCCTCCTCCCGCTTTGACCACCAGCTGGTGGCTGTGAGATTCCAACACGTAAAGACACTGGTGGGAACAGTACTGCCTTTTACTGGCTTTGAATTTCACGTATTTTAACACTTGGCTATTGCCAGTACTGTTGGCTGAGACACCAACATATAAACAAGATTTGCATTTAATACCTTTAGATCACAAAGAGCTCCGTGAAGTCAGATATAATTACCTGCGTTTAAAGAGGGGAAAAAACAGAGGTGGGGTGACTCTTCAAGGTCATAAAAGCAGTCAGGGGCCGAGTGGGGAAGGGAGCCTACATCGGATAACCTCGGTAGCCAGACATGCCGGGGTGCATCCTTACACCAGGAGAACGAATTCCCTTGCCCTTCCTGTGGCCCTGGGCGGAGTGGCCAGGAGATAAGGCATTGCCGCCAGAAATGGGAAACGCCACTTGTTTCACACGTGGCTCCCGAGAAGCCCCCATCGGCAGGGGGGTGGGTGGCTCGTGTTTCTGGTCCCTCCGGGCTCTCTGCTGGAAATAACAACGGAGAATGGTGTGAGCAAGCGAGAGGAGCTTCTCTCGGTGACCTCAAGTGCTCTGGACCATCCTCCTTGCCTCATCCTTCATCCCACCCTGCGGCTGTTGGGTACCCTGTGCCCCCCCGAGCGCCGCAGGGACACCAGGGTGTGGTGAAACGACCTACGGCTGCAGCCGTGGACGGGGAGTGCGTGTGCTGGCGGAGGGCAGGGGCACGGCAGCGCTTCCTGGGGGTTATAAAAAGCTGCTGCTACTCTGCATCTCGCGAGTGGATGCCACACGCCGCCTCCTCTGGGGAAGAGGGACCTTTCAGGCTGTTTTTAGCACCGGGAGGGCAGGGAGAGGGGGTGCCTCTTACAAGCTGCTACAGATTATAGATCTGCAGCTAACAGCTTGTCCTCCTACCCACCCACAAACGCAACGCCCGGTGTTGCTGTGAGGGGAGGCGAATGGCAGGACCTGCCTGTGCCTCTGGACCCGAGGGCCCGGGAAGGGGAGCGCTGACCCCCGGACGGGGTCCCTCGCGGTGCCGCCCAGCTCCCCTGCGGACCGCGCAGCGTGGCCGCACACAGCTGCCGCGGTGGGTTTGGTACACGCGGGCTAATGCTAATTTGGAGAAGCCTGCGCAGTTAGTAAATACCTCGCGTTTGCTTGAAGACATAATTAGGCCAGCGTGGATCTGCAGGGATGTGCACAGCATGGGGACCCACAGCCAGCAGAGCAAAAGCCTCCCTAAAATTTTCCATCTCTCAAACCAACACTTGGTCCCCCCCACTGTGTCCTGGCTGGGCAGGCGGCGGCCTCCACCTCCCTGCTCCCAGCACCCCGCTCCTCCGGCTCAGGTGGGGCACACAGCAGGGACAAACCCACCGGCAGCCGGGTATTGAATCTGTTTTCCCCCTTTCCCCTTGGCGAGGCATGCATCAGCTGGTGGATGAAAGCCGAGCGCTGAGAAGCCATCTATGCTTATGTAAGAAGAGTGGTTTAGAGAGCTGTTTATTAATCTCGCAGAGAGTTGAATGCTGTATTTTGCCCATAACAGCCTTGTGCTGTCTTGCTGTTGGGTAATGTGAAGGCTCCAGCTGATTCTGAAGTAGCTGGAGCAGAGTGGTGCCTACCCAGAAATAGAGAAGTATTTTTAAATGAAATTTATGCATCGATTTTCCTTAAGACAGGTTGTTATGTGTTTGTTGAAGTGTCATTAGAAGTAGCCGGTGATGGAGCTGGGCCGAGCAGAGCGAGTAGACAGACACTGTCCTCCCGGCACCCCGGGAGGTCACCCAGACCCAGACCCCCACCTCCTCCTCCTCCTCCTCCTGCTGCTGCCAGGTCTCTGCACCAGGGCAGCCCGAGGGGAATGGAGGTGGTTAAAGCTGACACCAGGCCTGTGAGATTCTGGGCCAGATGCAGAGCAGGGTTCGGCACCTCTGCGAGGTCAGAGCTCGGGTGGGTGATGGGGCTTCAGCGGGAGGGGAGCGGAGCCTTTGGGCAGGCTGCTGGGTGGGCTGCGGCGGGAGCTGTCTCCCAGGGAGGGGAGGGCGCTGGGCAGCCCCCGCTCAGGTAACCCCAGTCTGGGCCTTACGCTGCCTGCGGGACCGTGGCCCCTCTGGCAGCTGGTGCCCCGGCACGACGCCCGGCCGGGCTGCAGGGGTGGCTGCTGCCAGCCTCTGCTCCAGCTCCTGCTGCGGCTTCGGCTCGCTCTGCTCGCTGGCACGTTCGGCCTTTTCTCCCTGCGGCGCAGTGCAGAGCCACAGAACACCAAGAACTAAATCCTGCTTCACTGGGATTTGCCCAGTGAGGGCTGAATCTGCAGGAATGCAGTTTTCATTTTTGAAGACAAGAAGAAATGAGGGTTTCCATGTAGCAGTAGACCTGAGCACCACCTAACAGGCCTCTGAAAGCTGCTCTGAGCTCTTCTCAGCTCACGCGGGTCTGACCACAGCAAATACCAGGCTTCGGCTACCTAAATAAACACAGATGCGAGCTCCAGCCCCGCTGGCGGGGATGCATCGCCTTCAGTGCGGCGGGGCAGGGTCGCGGTGCGGGGCCGCTCACGGGCTCTGCTTCCCCGGCTGCGCCAGCATCGCCCCGGCCGTTTGCCTGGCGGCGGGAGCTCTGGGGCTGGCAGG